GAGATTCCTCCCATCCCGTCACCCATGCAAGTATTAAGTAGGTCTTGGGGACTGAAGTTCCTGCAGCTGGGCCCTGTCCCTCACACCCGCAGTTGTGCGGTAGCTGACAAGTTACTCAACCACCCAGTGCTTACAGGAGAAGGCTGGGTTCTGAGACCCAGAGCCCCGATCCGGCTAATTCTATGTTGCAAGCAGGAAATCTAGGTGTATCAGCCACTCGCCCGTCCAGGGCAGGCTCCCTACCCAGGGCACGTGAGTGGAGAGCTTGGGAGCTGAGCTCTTCCTCAGCTGCTGGGACAGGCAGAGAGACCAGAAGCCATGGGTTTGCACTAGCAGGGCACAGCTATTTTTAAGTGACATGTCTCGGCTATTTCAAGGTTTGAATTTTTATTTTATTTATTTTTTTCTGTACTTTCTCATGACTCACATCTTTCAAAATGGTGTCTCGGGCATTTTTAATGCTGAAATCATCTCAACTTCACAACTGGTCAAAAAAATGTTTAAGAGCAAATCAGCTCTTTATCATTCAAATATAAAAAGGTACATATTAGAGTTGTCAACTTTCTACTGCTGGAAGAAAACCCCACGTTAGTATTTTTCCATTAGAAATTTAACACAGCATTCTGTTTAGAAAATGTGTGTGTGTGTTTTCTAAAATACACATCTGTAAGACTTTAAATTGCTATTGCACAGATGCCTTGAGGCGCCTCTGCAACAGGCTCCTAACGAAACACCACCAAGCAGCTGACACCCTGGCAGGCCCCAAGGGGCCGAGTGCACCTGGAGGCCCAGCACCCTACTCCTGCACCTGCACCAGCTCTCCTGCGGGGAAGCAGGCCCCGAGGGGCCGAGCGCACCTGGAGGCCCAGCACCAGCTCTCCTGCGGGGAAGCAGGCCCCGAGGGGCCGAGCGCACCTGGAGGCCCAGCACCCCACTCCTGTACCTGCTCCAGTTCTCCTGCGGGGGAGCAGGCCCTGAGGGGCCGAGCGCACCTGGAGGCCCAGCACCCCACTCCTCTGCCTGCACCAGCTCTCCCGGCGGGGGTGGGGGTGGGGGTCCCACGCAGGCCTCTGAACCGCGCCTCAGGCTGCAGCAGCCGCATTACTCATACTCAGCGGACAAAGGATCCAATCTCACCGCTTGGAAACATTACAGAGGGAAAACGACACCCAGAAGTAGGAGTGAGATTCGCTGAAGTTCCGTTCGGAGAAAGACTCACCCCTCGGCCTGGACAGCCAGGGCTGGCAGTGCCTGAGGACCCCCTCAGCCTGGGCAGCCCATGCCGGGGTTTGGGGGCCTGGCTCTGCTCTCGCTCTGCTCTCACCGGGCAGCCCAGGGTTCCCCAAGCGGCGGCTGAAATTCGAATGGCCAGCAGGTGGCGCACTCGGAGGCGGCCGCCCCGCACGAGGCGGTTCGGAGGCCTCTGGAGTCCGCGGAGGGAGGTTTATTCTCCGCCCGCATGAGGCCGTGGAGGCTGTGAAATCCGCAACCACGGGCAACGGAGGCGGCCTGCTGGGCAAGAGGCCACCAACACCTGGCCGGCAGGTAAGTTCCGACGCCTCTGCAGCGAGCGCGGGAGGCGGGACCTGAGGCGCCGCCAACACTCAGAGAAAACTACGGGCTGAGGGTCCCTCATCTGAACGCTTGGGACCAGAGGAGTTCGGAGTTCAGATTTCTGCAGATTTTGGAATACCTGCAGCTACAGAATGAGAAAGCTAAATACAAAATTCATTTGTGTTTCATACACACCTTACACACACTGCCTGAAAGTAACTTTATACAACACTTTTAATAATTTCATGTATAAAACAAACTTTGAACTGTGCCTGGGACTGCAGCCCGCCACACGAGGTCAGGTGTGGAATTTTCCACTTGAGTCGCGACGCTCCAACAGTGTTGGACTGTGGGGCACTCTGGACTTCAGATTTCCAGATGCTCAACCAGTACTCAGATTCCTAAGTTACTTGTCAGAAATGCCTGCTATTTCTTGGGATTACATTTCTCTCTGCAAATGTCTGTGAAATTCCTAAGTTAAATTCTTTATGTATCATGCACGTGCTACTAAGTCAATTACGAAATTTAGTGTTTAACGCAGGTCAGCTGCAAAAACAAGAATATTGCTTGCTTCAACCCAGGATGACAGGTTATTACCTAAAAGATACACAATAGCTAGAATGATGCCTTCAAACTTAAAGAAAGGTTTGTATCTGTGGGTGAAGAAAAGCAGTTAAACTTCCATAAAAGTAAGTCTAGTGGAACTGAGCTGATTGCCAAAGTGTGGGAGAAAAAAGGCCAGCAAAAAAATGGTTAACGCTAGCTTTCGGAGGAGGCCGCCCAGAGCCCAGCCAGAGAGGAGCAGGCGGAGGGGGCCTATAAAGCCCTGTGCCAAGGGGCAGACTCACTGGCTCAGACGGAGGACGCACCCGCCGGCAGGCTCAGATGGAGGACGCACCCGCCGGCCAGCCGGGAACCTTCCCTCGAGGGCTCCCAGGGCGGGTCTCTTCCTCTCTCCAGCCCTGCTCAGGCATTCGGCAGGTCCAGCAGAGGTACACCTCCTGCAGCTGGGTTCCAAGTGCACCTCCAGCCTGATGGGCCTGACCAAGGAGGCTTCCAGGACCACAGAAGGGGCTGCAACCCAGGTAGGACTCAGCCTCGGCCTGGCGCGCGGTGCCATACCACTCACTAGGGGCGCGTGGGGGTAGTGCCACCCAGTCCGCTATCCTGTTATGGGAACAGCTGGACGCAGACATGCAGATACCTCACCCCCTGGTGAGAGCAGCACCCAGCTTCCCAAACTCAAGGCACAGACCCCTCTCCCACGGAGCTCCGGTGGTCTCAGCGTGACCAAAACAGCAGGGGGCTTTACAGACCCCTCTCCCACGGAGCTCCGGTGGTCTC